CCAGCATGGGGCAGCCCCGGCCGCTCCTCACAGCGGCCCCTGCACCCCGCTGCCAGCACCTGGGTGCTGACACCCTGTACAACATAAATGCTCATCAAATCTCCCGTCCCGGTCAAGATAAGAGGTGAGGAGTGGCCATGGTGTCATTCAGGGGAGACACCCAGGCTGAAGAGGCCCGGTGTCCTGGCATGGCGGTGGCATTGGGCCGTGACTTTGGGGTCTGCGACAGTGTGTCAGGATGTGGCCTCCTGCCAGGCAGGTGTGCTGGCATCGCTGCAGGCCTGGAAAGTGGCAGAGACCATGCAGCTCACTGCAGAGCGCACCAGCAGCCCTTACCACTGGGGTTTCCTTGTCTAAGAGAAGCCTGCTCTTTGCAATATGCTTTATGCCACATGGAGGACGGGTTTGCCTGTTGGGGGGTAACCTGACGCACGGCTCCGAATCCTTTCGATTCCTTTCCCACAGGTGCTGGCAATACAGGTGCTGAGATTCTGCAGACATTAACCTGATGAATAGTCTGATCCTTAAAACTGCTATTCATGATTTATGAAGTATAAACAAACCTTTAAAGCGTAAAAAACCTGTTAATAAAATACTCATTAGAAAAGCTTTTCTCTGTGCATTGAGCTAAATCGATTGTATATTTTTTCAAGTGCATTATCAGTCTGCTGCAATATTTTCTTCATATATATTCCCTCTTCTGTCCTCATTATCACCTGCATGAAGCTTTGTTTCAAACATAGTTTGAGCTTCTGTTCTGTTTCTGTTGAATTAAGGAAAATCAATCCAGCAAAGCTATATCAAATAGAATCATTTAGAAGGTAGCTGCTTTCTTGCTTGTCAGGGCATAGCTTTATGTCTTTCATCAGTGTTTGGATTCTTTTTAATTTTTCTTTAACAGGCTATACCACAAACTTTATTCTTGATAGCATAGTGACTTGCAGCTTGACATCCTTCTTTCTGCTGAGATCTTCTCAGAAGATAATCCACAGAGAAAGCTAGGTTTTATACTTGCAGTGCTAATGTAATGTGCTGTGGAAGATTTATTCTTCTTATTAGATACTTACCATTGCTTCATAAACATCTTGCTTGGAGTTTACTGTACAACTTTGTTATAGATAACACCCCAGTGGAAATGACGTCTGATACCCTTCCCTTATGCTTCAGCCCTTTGGTACTATTTTTTTCTTATATCTTCATTCTCATTACAGATAATGTTCCAGATTCTAGTATAGTACTTGAGATACCCAGGCTATTAATGCAGTTTCATCTGTGTGTGATAATACACGAATGGAAAGGGGCTGAGGGAGGGGAGAAGAGGGAAGAGACAAGAGAGGCTGAAGGCATCCTTTACTGCCACTTCTGAAAGACATTTGTTGACCTTGCATTTATATAAGGATATGCTATAACTTTTTTACCTTTTTTTACTGTAGTTACAGGGATGCAGAGAAGAACTTTCACAATATATCAACCAGATGCTCCTATACAGATTGCTCTGGCAATGAAGAAACTGAAGATGTCTCAGGAATTCTCCAGTGTACAGCTAATGTACTTGGTATGTATTTTTTCAAAGGAATTTATTTCCTTTATTTGGAAGGAAAGTTTACTGGCCATCCTAATACCAACAATGAACCAAGGAATTTTTGCTGCAGCAAAGGAAGTTTAGGGCGTAGGCAGCTACATCAGTGCACTGTTACTACATTTGTGTCCTTTTCTACATATATTTTGCACCTTTGAGACAAGCCAGATAGATTTTTCAATGGAGTCAGGGGAGTTGTATTGTGCAATACCCAGGTTGATGTCAGTGATTAGGGAAGTTTCAAAGGCTTTCAGTCCAAATGGACTTGTACTTGTGCAGGCCTTGGTCTTAGAATTATCTAAAGTGGTTATGTAGGACTTCTACAGAACAATAGATCCTCTTATCATCTATGGGCATGGTGGATAGAGGGCCTCAGAAACACAGAGTGGGTTGTACCTGAGGCATGAAACATTCTGGAAACTTACATTCATTTTGAAGAATGCTTGCTGCAATAAACTTTTAGAAATGTTGCATGTCAAGTGCAATTGTCTTAATAGGTGTCCAAATTAGATAGCTGGCTATTTGCATCCACTCATGATTTATCCAGCTTATTCTCCTTCCCAAGTTGTTAGTAAGCTTTACTGCTTTTCAATCAGAAAAATTCCAACTGCTGAAGTTGGAATGGAAGGCACAAAAGATGGCATTCTGGTTCATAGTAAGCTTCCTTTGAGCTGGTAATACAAAGGATAAACCTGCAACATATTTATGGGGTTATCCAGTTAGAGAGATTTTTTTCAACAGGAGGCACAAAACTGAAATCTGACCTTGTATGATAATTAAAGATGTGATTTACCTTCCATGTCAGGGGAATATGGTAAGGTGATATTCTGTCCACATTGTGGTGTGGACCATTGTATCTTGCTGGCTTAAAATCCTTCTGCAGGCATATGCATTGCATGTCTGTCTCTTCTATCTCAAATTGTTACACAGACTTTGTATGTTCTGTGAAACAGCTAATGTGCTCTAGTTGAGAGGTGACTGTTGCACTGCCATTCAAAATACTTTTATTGGATGTCAGGTGCCTTATTCTGCCAAATGCTAGGTGCTGTCAGGAAGGCCTTTACCAGCTGCTAGGAAGAAAGGGTACTTGGCACTTTGCACATTTGGTCATGGAGAGAATTTAGAACAAATTAAATTGTAAATATGTCCAGTATTAGTTACCATATTTTTTTGTTTGTTTGCATTTTTAAATAATGGAATGTTAACTCTCAGGAACAAATGCTAGGAGGGATAAGGCAGGATTCACACAAAGTAAAAATTTTTCATGTGCATATTAATACAACCCCCCCTCCCAAATTAGACATTCAGTACTTAATTTCACCCTGACACAAAGTATGTGTTCTAAGAAATAGTTATGAATACTTTTTCCTCTTCAGAGTGCTTTTAAATACAATATATTAGTCCTGGTCCCTTAGCATGGCTGAATAACGTGCAGCCTGCTTTTTCAGTGGTATCCCCTGTGTGTCAGGGGGCAGATCAGACTGTTGGGATCACGGTGTAGGGGTAATGTCTAAACGTTACTGTCTTGGGGAATTATTGAAGTGGACTTTGTTGAAAATAAGTTTGCAGAGACTTACTCTTGGAAAAGCTGACCTTTTAAAGACTGAACTTGAGTTCATAGCAAAAAAAAATTTTGATGCAAGCAAAACGCTGAGATAATTTAAAAGCAGTACTTCTTTCCTTCTCCTTCTCTGGGATGGGAACATAAGAGAATAAGCAGTAAAACCAACTTCTTCATTTTAATTGTAGCTTTTATCATAACAGGTAAATAATTAATGGAGGCTGTGTAATTAATTCTTACATATGCAGTTATTTTTCTAGTTGAATAAGGATTAATCACAGCTGCTTCTATGCAAGAAGGACGTAACCACTGGGGTGTGTACGTAGAGCAATTGGCATTGGTGAGACAGGAGACAAGAGTGAATTTGACTGTGATGGAGGCTAGAGAAATTGTTGAACCAAATCTGGCTCTCAGTTTATTTATATGAGCGGTAACAGGGACTTGCTGTCTGGGGCAGGAAGAAAGTGTTTTCTTAAAGGTGCTTGGAAGCAACCTCCTGCTCTCTTGCCTTAGATAATGCCAACATGATTCACCTCTCCTGACCCTCTAACTGCCTCTAAAATAGTCATTTAACATTCCTTATTCATCAGAAGACAGCAAATGCTGAGATCATTAGTAAGCTTGGAAGACTGTGAGCAGATGCTTCACACTGTGGTCCTGGTGCTTACACTGCTCACAGCAAAGTGCTGACTGCAATCTATACGCACAGCTCAATGCATGTGATTTATCATGTATGAATACTGGAATTTTCCTTCCGTCAAGTCATCACTAAAGTGTGACACCATCTTTCTGCAGTGGAAGGACCTGATTCTCCTCATCTTCTTGCTGAGTTGCTCCTGCTACAAGTCTAGACATCAATAGAGCTCTTCCTGCTTTAATCCGCTGTAATTAAGGGAGCCACGTCCACCATGCTCACATGCTGTAAACCATGTTTGATACCAGATCAATGGCACAGCTTTCCTTTGTGGTGACAGCTTCTGAGGCTGGAATATTTACTTTAGCTTTGTATCCTATTTAAAATAGTCCAGACAGCTTTATGATGCACTTTGCTTGCTTTAACTGGTGCATGCACACTTCTACAGTGTCCTTCAGAAGCATATCATCCAAAGGAAATACAAGAGACAATATATTGGGAATTGGGAAAAAGAGAAGAGAAATTCTAGCTTCTAAAGGGAGCTTTTGTAAAGTTCCTAGTTGGAAATAAAGTATTTCAAAGAATAAGCACTGGTATGTTTTATCCTGTTGGCACAGATAATGCTTTTAGCTGGCTAGCTAAGTAGTGTTCAGAGCAGATTGGTGGTGTTAGTCTGAACTTATTTTAGAAATAATGATAAGAAAAAGATTCCTATGATGAAATGTATTATGTGGATGTCTACCAGATTTCTTTATTAGGTGACTACAAATTTATACTGAGGTATGTTAGAGAGAAAGACTGTATCTGAAGAGATTTCTTATTTGACCTTGGACAAGTTTTTATTCTTTCTGTGCCTCAATTTCCCACCTGTATAATGGAGATAACAGTTGGTTTTTTTAATCCTTTAAACCATATGTCAGTGTTGTTCAGATATTAACCTTCTCAAAGCAAAGACGTTTTCATACCATTTGTACATTCAGCATTTTAAGCAATGACAGCCAAATCTTGTTTGGGACTGCTTTTGCTCTGTAATTTGAAATAATTTGATTCCAAGTAAGATTAGAGTGTCCGTTTTGACTTAATTGCAGCTAGTCAGAATAAAGCAGAAGACTTCCAGGTAGTTCCAAATTAAAACTTCAGCAACAGGGAAATAAGGATGAAAAGATTTTTAATTGTTAGTCTGTAATTCCTACTGTAAGGATTTTATTTTGGGACATAAAGCCTTCATGACCTGTCTCCTGATTATCTTTTGGACAGGTATTCCAAGCAGGTCTGTGCTACTGAGCTTTATGAAGCAATAGAGAAATGCCCGATTTTCATTTTTGAACCCCACTGTTTTCAAACACTGCACACAATTAATGTAGCTTTTGTGGATGTGAACTACTTTTCAATCTTATTTCAATCCTTCACGAAAAGAAAGGGAATTTCATTAAAGGAGTTACCTGTTTTCCTTTAAATGTCACCAGTATTTCCTTTGGAGCCTCTACATCCTCTGAGGAACTCTGTAATCTGCCACAACTTTGATAGTAAAGCTATTGAAAAGTAACTGAAATTCATAAATACCTATACAAAATCTGTTGTGCAAAATTTGCAAAGCAGAAGCAGATGTTCATGCCCAATCTTTAAGGACATGGAAGAAATGTTGTCTTTGAAAGCCTATTTGCATATTAGACTACATCATCTAAATTGTATGTACTGCAGCGCCATGTAATATATACTGCATAAATAACACTTGCCACACCTTGGGTGTACAGCCTGAAGTTACAAATGCACTTGTATCAGATAGTTGTTACAACAAGGAGGCCTGCAGAAATAATTGCCCCTGTCTGACTTTCCGTTGCTCAAGATACAGAAAAACATTCTCTTCTATTTTTTTGTTCAAGAAATTAACTTATACAACAAAACTCTTTATCATCTGTTATAAAAACTTGATTCCTAAAAATCTTACTACAATTACCTCATTTTCCTTAAAAAATGCACAGCCTATGTCAAGGGCTGCTAAGTCAGCTCCACATGTGGACTTAAATGTATTGCAAGAATTTTTCCTGTTAGGCATTCATAACTTACAGGTTAATAACAATGATCATTCTCTTGATTTTGCCTCTGAGAGTGGTGTGAGGACTTTGCTTCTCTGTCATTTCTAAGTGAGTATCTTTCTGGGCATCTTCTATTTGGAGGATGACAGTGGTGAGGATTCCCAAATTCACCCAGTGATAAGTTATGTGGAAACTCAGCTCAGAGCCCTGTCCCGTCAAGGAGATAAATCTTGTTTCTGGATTCAGCCTCCCCAAGACACTGAGGAGGAGGTGGAATCCATCGTTGGTGTAGGGGTTTAGAGAGCTCTTGCTCTGGGTGACATTTGCTTGTCACCACCAAAAAAGATATGTACTGTAGGCTGCTTTATATAGAGCAGATCACTTCATACCTAAATATATCATGCAGGTCTGTTTAGTGCAAAGGGCATAATTCTGTAAAAGTCATTTGTTGTCTGTACATCTGTCAGAGTTGAAGATCTGTGTTTCCTTTATGAAACCAAGAAAATCTCAGCTCTCACCCATATTCTGTAGTTAAAAGAGGAATAAATTTGGGATCATTCTGGTAACTATTAAATAATAACAGCACATCACTGCCGAGAAATACTACATTTGAATAGGCAGAAAATATGTTGAAAAGGAGATGCCAGGACAGACCTTAGCCTACCGTGAGATTAAACCAGGCGATGTAATTGGAAAAGGTGGACTGCTTGGCAGGTATCTGAAAACTGTAAATGCTTATGTATTT